TGTGTGTGTGTGTGTGTGTGTGTGTGTGTGTGTGTGTGTGTGTGTGTGTGTGTGTGTGTGTGTGTGTGAGTGAGACACCTTTTACCTGTCATGGTGTAGAGTCCAGTGCCGTGACGCTCAGAGTAAATCCTCGAGCTGGAGAGAGAAAAAAAGCAACAATATTCAGTCACGTTACACACGAGAAAAATGCTTGTTAACTTTGTGTTTTGGAACACCTGTGCTCCCAAAGACATCCCTCGGGAATTCAAATATAATAAAGCAGGAAATTTATTTACGGATTAAAAGCATTAGAACTCCTCCAAAATACAAAGGGCTTTCTAAAATGTCCAAAGGCAAAACAGAGCACTGAAATAACAGGGTGAACTTGAAGAGGAGAAATGATCGAAGTTAAACTGTGCCTCAGCTGCCCAGGGGCTCGAGCAGACCTTTAGCAGGGGTTTGGAGCAGGATCTTGTTAATTCTGGAGGAACTGAGAGATTCCATTATTCAAGGCAAGTCTGTTTTTTTCCCTCTTCTCTCCCTCTTTCATGGCCTTGTATTACAGAAAACAGCACAGAATGCACTTTGCGGGGAGTTGAAGTTAACAAACCATATAAGATTGAAATCCTCATCAATCAAGCTATCATGAATTACACCCTGTGACTCACCCCTACGGATCGATAAATCCACAGCAAGCAGTGGTGGTGCTGGTGGGGGGAATTCACAGCTTCAAGAGAGCTGCATAACATGACATGCTTTGTAGGTAAAGGGAGCAATGATGGCATTATAAAACAAATGCTCTTATAACGATAATGCAAAGCAGTTGGCGATATCAATAAAAAAAAGGGGGAATTGCTTTCATTAGAGTACACGTGAGTTTGTTGTTAGAGACCACGAACAAGACAAGTCGGTTATAAAAGGAATCTGAATTATAACGCAGACAGGACAGATTCTGGGAGTGAGCAGGTGTGAAGCTGCAAATAACAAAGTGCGTTCTGCGTATTATGTACTGTTTTTGGTGTGTTTATGGGAAAAAACATAATCAATTTTTCACTGACGGAGAGTGTAAAACTTTAAAAAATTAAGACTAAAGCCGGATCTGCACATTCTATTAGTACGTGTGCGAGTTGTGACTTGCAAAGACTCGTATCTACGGACGACATAAATAAATGCAATAATTTCCATCAAGAGCAATAAAACAAGACTCGTGACAGGCTGTGGTATTTATGAGCTGAAGCCTGCAACTCAGATTTATTTGCAATGAAAGGGTCGACTTTTTCTCCTCCTCATTTACATCAGCATTTGGCCATGTTAAATCCAGGCCAATGGTGAATTTTTAAAAGGTTGGCATCAATCTTGTGGGAACGATTGCCATATTCAAGGCAGACTTCTTTTACCCTGCAAAGGTTGATTCCACAGCTGAGGAGCTGAGGAAGAAAGGTGCGCGTCTCTCAAAGCACAGAGACGTCCCTCGGAGTGATAAAGTGGAGGCAAACGGTTTAAATGTCTTTTAAGGGATCGCAGTTTGTGGTGTTATATTAGCGCTCGGAGGAGACGCAGAGAGCAGGGAGCTCCGTATTAAGTCTGGCTATTTATCTGTGAACCTAAAAAGTGAATGTGGTACTCGTGGAAATCCCTACTAGGCTCGTGGAATACTGTTCCACAGGCAACCTCCAGGGTTTCTTTTCCCATCTGTTTGAAAAGCTCAAAACTGTCTCAGTCCAAATTGGTGATTTCTAAATACAATTTTAGGTGGATTGGAGAGGGTAACATATGGCAAATCAATTAGACAACTAATTCTTAAAACAAAACAGGAAAAAAAAAACATGGCAAGTGCATTTGCTAATCAACAGCAGTGTTATGTTGGCCACAGGAGTTTTGACAACAATTAATCCTCATTTCAGGCAAGGAGAGCCATATTGACACATATTCCTAATTTGAATATTCAATTATAGTGTAGTTCCTCATCAAATTAGAGTAAAACTGGGAACGCGGCCTGATAGATTTATACAATTACAACGTGGATCAAGAGTATTATGTTCCCCGTGAAATCTGCCCGAGTTAAAATCAGTTAAAATAAGAAAGCAAACCAAAGCACAAAGGATTATTCGACAACATGAATTACGATTCAGTGGTGTTTGTTTTTTGTTGTTACAAATAGCAAATGCGGAAAAGAGTTGTCTACTTAAAAAAAAAAAGGAGGAGAAGAGAAAGTGGAAGAGAAAGTGGAAGAGACGGTGGCGACAGACAGGCAGGTAGGTAAGATGAGAATGAGAGTAATATCACTGACTGAAGAGCCAGAGCTGCGATACAGAGAGCTGGAAGCTCTTGTTTTGACACACATCCAGCCTTTGCCGTGACAACATCTCCACACCTTCCTCTATGTGCCAACAGAGCTGCTTTGTGGGAGCTGCTTTCTCACCCATCATTATCCTCCTTTAAGTTCAGTGTCAGGTGTTGAAAAGAGAATCTCTTAGACTTTGGTGGCAAATCACCGAGTAGTCTCTGCCCATCAGATCTTAGCTGATCATTCGATCATTTCTGGCACCGCTCTGCATCCATTCGCTTGATCTCGGCTAGTTTTTGCAACTTTTTCCAAAACGTAGCAAAGTAATGAGTGAGATTGAGCCGGGAAGGATTGTTCTTCAACACTTCAGACAGGGGATCTGTCATGCGACACGCTGACAGTCACCGTGTCTCTTTCTCTCAAGAGTTGTGTGCAGTGGGAAGTCTTGGTTAACCAGCGTGCAATGAAAGCTGATACAATAATCGTGCGGAGCAGCAGCAACGCGTGGAGTGTCACAGGTAGAAGACTGTGCAATCCTAAATGTATTGATACGTGTGCCATTTCTGACACTGATGACTATCGAGCCTTCAGGTGTTAAAGGCAAAAAAAACTCTGAAATGGAAGAAAAAGAGACTTTGCCTTGACATTTTTATCACTGCACAGATTGATTTAAAAAGTGTCCGTGTGTACAGTGGCCCATTATTTTAAGAGAAATGTCAAAAACCTCGATTCTGAGTGAGGCAAAAGAAATTGCAATGTTAGAATAAGGCTAATTTATGCTAGCAGTCACTGCAGAGGTCAGATACCAGCTTCAACAATGACAGTTTTATCAGGAGAACAAATGGCAGCGTTGGTCAGGAGGAGGAAGCAGGGAGATACTTTACTGGCCACATTAACAGGCTGGCCGGATGGTGCTGTTTTTTCCCCCCTAACATTATAAAGTCAGGGACTTGCTGATACGGTCAGTCTTGACAGAGAACAAGCTGAAGTGGTTGACATCAACCTGCTGCCATGAATGGAATCAGAACACCGTCTCGGGTTGAGACGCTTCAGACAAACCTGATAAAGAGACGTTAAGCACACAGTGTTTAAACGTATTTGCGCAGCAGACGGCTCAGCGGGCCTCCTCCCTATAACTTTTAGTTGCTCAATATGGCACAACAGCCTGAGCCAGTGAGAAACAACCATTTCAGCTTTACTGTTTATCCATAATTTTAACTACTAAACTGCATGAGGAAAATAAATTATTGCAATACAAATCCCCAATGTTCCTTTTTGCAGTTTTACAAGCACCTGCTAGAGTCTTGCATTCCTCTAGAAGCAGAGCTTCTTTAAGGCACCAAGGATTCTTTCTGAACTTGTTAGAGCAGCGTCCTCTGATTTTGCACCTGGGTCACGAAATAAAGTTCAAACTCACTAAATCAGAATACTTTTGTCTCCCTGGGAGAATTCAGAGCCCATATAAAAACTGTGCAACTGCTGTTCACTTTATGTTTTGTGTTACGTTACTTGTTGAGTTCCTTTGTTTGCTTATGTTGTCATTTATATGGTGTCCTCTCTATGACAGATCTCACTAGAAACAGAGATTTTAATCTCAAGGTTCCTAATGCTTAAATGAAAGTGGAATTTAAAAAATCGGACTTGTTTAGGACTTTCCTTCACGCTGAATAGAAAGTAGATCACATTTTAACACCTGTCTGATCAACATAAAACCTGAAATATGATGAAAAACCATTTCTTTTTTTAATTATCTGTAGCACTTCACAGTAGTCAATAACAATTTTTATTACATGTATGAATTTAATGCCACCTGGACACAGCAAACAAGCCAGAAGTCCAATGAATAATTTCAGTCTCAGTCTTTTTTTTAGGTTTTGCAACCCCAGTCACACAGGGTGAGGCAAGTTTCCATGGCTGTTTCCTTTACACTGATAATTTTATAAACTAATTATAAAAGAGACTCGTTACAATAATCATGAAGGTAAATAATTACTTGAAGCCATAATTCTAGTATAAATTTCCCTATACTGTGCTTAGCAGTAGTAAGAGTGGTTAAAATAGGTCTGATGGCGCTGACTGAACCTCTGAGTCACGCCAAAGAAAAGCCCTCACCAGGCTCATTATTTCACACAGAAACCACTTATAACGAGTATTAGTGCCCACGAAAGAAAAGCTAAAGTGTTTTAAGATTTTTGCAAATTCAATTTCGGACTCTTAAAGCGAAACCGAAACTTCTCAGCTCCTGCGTTTTACAGCTGACAAAAACGATACAAAAGCAATTTAAATATAACACCTTGGCCTCGATGCAGTAACTGCGCGTGTCCCGTAATGATGCAACGCTCTGCAGTTACTGCAGCTCTGTTGCCGCCGAAAAAACCTGATTTGCGGTTTACGTTTGTATACAACCCTAACGAGCTCTCGCCGCCCGAGGCAACGTAACATTTGAGAGGGATCACTGCAGCTTTCAAAATTATAAGGGTCATTAAAAATTTATACATTATTGACTGTATTTAAAACATCTTTTCCACTGACTGTAAAGAGCACTTAAATTTAAGAGGTGCTATTCTCCAACGGCCATAAAGTTGTAATAGATAGCCCGAAGGAGGTGTGAAGGAGAGAATTTTCTCTTGCTGAATATGAATAAAGTATAGTGGGGTAACACTGCACAGACAGTTACACTGTGTTACTGTACTTCTTCAGGGAATCGGTGCTTGTTGAGGAGCTGTTTATAAATCACTGTGTCAAACTATCTTATCTGTGACTTAAAAAAAATTACAGAACTATTTATGGCTCTATGTATGGCTGTCTGAAGTACATGTAAGAACTGCTACTGTGTAAATTGCCCACAGTTTCGTCCTTATGCGTCGGTGCATTACGGAGGGAAATACTCTCAAAAGAAGAGTCTGACTGTGGAATGAATTTTAATGTTAACACAAAAACAGCGGCCTGTGATCTCAGCAGGCATCAAGAGTAAGGGGGGGGCAGTGGGTGTGTGAGTCGCTTCGAGGTACAATTTATTCCAACCTCTGTGCCTCACCAACTTGAAAGTGGGCTTCAAAAGAACTGAGGATTACCGGCAAGAGAGCTGTGAAGGCGCACGTGGGCCCGAGCACTCGATCTAACTTCATCACATCAAAGATTATTGACCATCAGCTTCCAAAATATGGACCATTCACAAAACTCCACGTGGTCTGAACCTGGGGTTTTGAATCCACAGCCTTCCAGTTTTAATGGTTCTCACCCCACTGCACAGCCACGGCGAACAGAAGCTCTGTTTTGAATACTCCTGCTGGTGGCTTCCACCGCTCTGGCCTGCTGGAGCTTTTACTCAGCCCGGCACAGGATGGCAGAACGTAGCACTTCAAGCTGGCAAAGACGTCAGATCGCTGTGCCAAGCTTCACCCTCCACAGCACCGCCACACCAAAGGAGTCTCGATTGTTTATTTACAATTTGCTGTGGAAATCCCCAGCTCTTCACTGCGATAAATAATTGAGCTGTTTGCTCTGGACACAGTACAAAGGTTTGCTCCGTTCGCTCGGAGGCCCGAGGCAGAGGAAGCCGGAGCAGCATGAGCAGAGGCGGGGACACACGAATACCAGCGTGGAGGAGATCTTGGTGCTCTCTCTTCCTCTGCAGCTGTCGCTCCCTCTCCGGGCTACATCTCCTCTTTTTTTTGTCTGCAAACTACAACCCTCTTGTCACCGCAGTCGGAGGAGCGACCTCCCTCTGCCTCCTGGGACACTACACAAATAGCAGGAGTTTAGCCCTCATTGAACTTCTGTTCTTGTTCAGGGGTTCCTGTCTAGTTAGCCCCGTCTATCCAGTTCACCCTCGCTACCTTGTTGTCCAGCAGCAACCTTTACAGCAGATTGCCCGGGAGTGATCAATTGCTCGTGTCTTTGTTGGCGTACAAGAGGCACAGGAGCGTAACAAAAGCTCACAAGCGCAGGAAATGAAAAGTAAGGCAAGGAGGAAAAGTTAAAACCCGAGACGCACAGCTGAATATTGTGGCGGGGCGTTACCTCGCTGTGCTGGGTCGGGCGTCGCTTTCGACCCTGCCGGACGTGACTCTAGACGGCTGACGCTGGTGAACATCTCCCAACCGATACCATATTCCCATGTTGTTTAGTTCGCTGTGTACGAAAAAAAGCCACACAACAGCTTGGTTAGCAGTTTTACCTGCAAATGGCAAAATGATTGCGACGAAAAGAAAAGTTACAAAACTTCACGATTTCATTCATTCCCGCTGTCAAATAGCTCACCCTACACAGGTGTAGTTAACAAGATGGGTCTTGGACTTTGCCGTGATCTGGATGTCACATACAGCTGTCTTCGCATCCTCACGAGGGCTCATTTTCACACAGAGCCTCCTCTTCCTCATGACAGCTTCCTCTGATGAGTCAAGTACATATGAGGATGTCAGAGAGAAATTGTTAGTTGATTATTCAGTTCTGTTTTCTCCACAGTTTGGGGCTAAAGAAAAGGGAAAAAAAACCTGTCGACAGTTTGAGCCTCTAGGAAAAAATATATATTCACAAATCCCATTTATGCTTTGCTATTTAGTCATTACCATCCTCCGAATAAAAGATGAGCTAATATCAGTTTGTGGGTGACTTGCTGTGCTCAAAGGGGAAATGAGTGGACACTGGAAAGCCACAAAATTCACATGTGTTATTATCATTTTTATCGCTTTAGTAGGTAAAATGACAGAACTAAGTGAATCCTCCATCAGCTTTAGAGCACAACGGGGATTTAAACTCAATATTCTAGATAGAAACTCATACATAATGTCACATGTATACATTAAACATGGATTCACATAAAGTAATAAAACATTAAATTACAACATAGCCAAACAAAACATAATCTCTTTTCTTCATTCTGGCAAAAAGAAAAAAGAAAAAAAAAACACATTGCCATGCTTTCCCTATATTGCATCTGTGCCTTGCTCATTTATTTCCCCAGCAACACTAGAAAGTGCAGTGTAAATGCAATGATAATAAAAATAATAAACAAGCTGTCCTCACTCCCCACACCAAAATATTATTACATTTCCACGGCGTGGATAGTGAGGGGGAAATACGTAGCACTCAAAAAGCACTAAAGCATTGGGGAATGCATTTCATTAATATTAGATAACCCCCATCCACTCGTCCTCTCCCCAAATAAATACATAAATAAGGCCCTCATAAAGAAAAGCACAGCTCCAGCTGAGATAAACAATGACTCATGATTCTCTTCTCTTGTACCTCCAGGGCAAAATGTTTATTTTATTCCCACAGCCTGCCATAAATTAAGCTAACCTGCACCCATAAAACATTCACTATCTCAAGCAAAGCTGCCCCTGAGGACCTCGGCATAAGCTGGTCGGAGAGTGGTGGGGGAAAAAAACAAGCAAGAGGAAGGGAGCGAGCCTGTGGTCGGTATTGACTGTTTACCTACTTGTGTCCATTGTTTCTTGCATTGGTGTGAACGACTCTGGCAGGGCGTCTTTAATATCAGTCAGCTTCATGTCCACGACAACATCGGGGCCCTGCACGAACGACAGCACGGAGGCAGCAACTTTTAAAAATAATATATGCAAATGCAACTTTGGAAAGGACAGAGAGCAAGAATGAGAAAAAGGTTAGTCATTTTTTTGGGTACTCAGGGAGGAAAATGTAGAGATAATAGACTCAATGATTTACTAAAAGCTCAAGAAGTCTCTAAAGAGAATGGTTGACAAAATAGCTCACGTAATTACTCTCTAATAGCTTTTTCTGGAGTGAGAGAATGCATGTGTGAACTTGTAATCATTCTCAACCTTTTGGCGAGAAGCTATGGGGTGATGGGAGACAGAGCAGGCAGTCTGATCAACAGAATGGGACTAGTTAAAAATAATCACGGACTGTGTAGCTGACATTTTCAAGCATGACTCTTCCCTGTCTCCCATTACATTTTCATTTTTTGCCATAATAAATTGCAATAATACACAGCGGCAGTAGAGAGTGGGGCGAGCCAGGCGTGACTTGATGCGTCCGAAAAGCCTGGATTCCACTGCCACTGTTGCCCGACAGTCATTACCATTAGAGACATTTTTTATTCATAGTTTTTACACTGACGTAAGGAGGAATATGGATGAATGTTATTACTATGCATGAAACCTTTTTTTTTAGTGTTTCCCCCCCTTTCTTTTTCCGGGGAGAATTTTTCCTTCGCAACCTGACAAAGGGGGCTATCTACCTTCAACCTAGAGTATGATAAATCACAAACTATTTACTTCTCCCCACATAATACAGGGGCTAATTCTACAGAATCTGTTTTTGTCATAGACAATTACAGTGGGAGCTCCAATGACTGGCAGACAAAATAGCCTTTGTTGATGGCTCTGTCATGTTTTATTTGCGTCAAAGTCTTCAAAACAATGTGGACACGCATTTTAAGATAATATACAGGAACTAGGGGAAGGCCATTTGTATGCTATATACTAAACCGAGGGCCAGATTGAGCTCCGGCACGAGGCAGCCGCTGCCAGGTTGCCTGACTTTAAGGGGGATGCCGAAAAAGAATCGGACTCGATTAAGTCCTAAAATTGAGCTGATGCAAAGTAATAACAAAAATGCAGGTTTTGTTTACTGCCTGCACCGTCCACCTGCAACCCACGGAAACTTAATTAATAGACGACCAATAGTAAGCTGTATGCGCTGAGGTTAGACAGGTTGATTATCCTGGCAATGTAAGCAGGTGTATTTATGGCCACAGAGCAGCTGACAGCCAAGCAGAAACACATCAGCTGTAGGCTGCAGGCAGGAGAGGAGTCAAAAAAATGCCCCAACAGCATTATGAGAAATACAATGCAAAGATCATTTCAGCCACAGAGGAGTCGTGGCTACTCAAATCAGGAGCTCTCTCTCTGTAAATATATATATATCCTACAGCATTTTCTCTTGCATAAATAGGAGGCATTTTCTGATTCAAATATTATATGTACATAAGCTTTGGTAACCATGGCTGCTGCTGATCAGATAAATTGGAATAGTTAAAATGCAGCTCATTGCTATTTCATGAATAAACATAAATAATATCTTCGAGGGCCACCAACATGAAAAATACCTCTTCCAGGTATTATCCATCCAGAATATGCATGCATATCCATTTTATTGAAAACTTTAAAACTGCACTACCAGTCCTGGCTTTTTTAAAGCGGGACAAACACAAGGCCTATTAAGATATTCTGGCAGCAAAAAGTGAGCTAATGACCATTGGCATACAACAATCAAAAAAGAAGGTGCAGCAGATGAGGAGCTAGTGCAGAGCGCATAGGAAAAGGGAGAAGTTTACATTCACGCTTACAGTTTTCCTGGTGAAACAGAGGTAGCGAGTGACCTTGGATTTGAATAAGCCGTCCTTCCTCAGGTCGGCGTCAGAGCCATCTGTTGTTTGTGCAACCTACGTGGAAAAAATAGGGGAAAAAAAACAAGGAGAGAGAAAACATGCAGGAGGTGGGATAAAGTTAATGTATGTATGCCATGAGCGTGCTGCTTTTGCCTCTTCCTTTGCATACTAGCCTTAATTAACGCTTGCCTACACTACTGCTCCATCTCATTAGTGCTCTGCGTGGGTAAAGAAGTCTTAGCCTCCAAAAAGGTGGCTAAAAATATCATCTCTTGGGACTGGGCTGATTAAAGATGCCCTGACAAGGATCTGCTCTAATAAGGGAGGCAAACTTCAACGTGGGAAAGCAGGGAATATATTTATGGTAAATGTGGAATGTATCTCTTTAAAAAAAAATAAACCTTCTGTAATGTATCCAGAGTGAAGACGTGGGTAAACTGAGACTGAGACACTGCGCACACAGCACGAGTAGTTTTACTTTATTTAAGGAGACAGCTTTTTCTAAGAATAAATTACAAAGAATTTAAAGTCTGATTTCAAAGACCCGAGCCGCTTGCCCTTGTACAACAGGCTCATTCATAGTTGTAAACAAGCAGTAGAGTCAGTAAAAAAAAAGAGAGATTGCATCAAATTGACAGCATGTGGGTACCACAAGTCAACCTCAAGGTCCTATACTGCATTGCTATGTAAATTTAGGTATGCAGGGCAGAGTGATAAAGCAAAATATAACCTGCAGACTGCATCGCAGAGACTCTTCCATCGTTCGAGCAAACATGCTTGGCTGAAGCGTCATGTTCCATTGGCTATCATGTGAGAATAACCTAAATAACTGCCAGAGTTATTTTCTAAAGGGATCCTTTACAAAGAAGAGTCAATCTAATGAGGTTCATTCAAATGAAGAAGTCATAGATCTCTGCACCCACCCACACACATTACCCCCTTGACAATAATGATGAATGACCCCGGTGACTGGTTGAGGGGGGGGGGGACATGGTATGGGGAGATTCATGCAAAACCACCACTGACTAGATGGGATGAGAGCAGAGGCTAGAGTGGGGAACAGAGACAGATAGTAGGATGAGAAGAGAGAAAGAGGAGAAGATGAGCAGAGAGAGGGATTGCAGGGCCTCTCCACAGCAGTTCCATGAAAGGTCCCAGAAGGAGCCAATACATCACCAGCCTCCCTTACTTCCTTACAAGACAACCCGTCTTGGCCACCTTTTTCCAGGTCAGTAGCCAGCGCATCCTGTCAGCGTAAACAAAGGGCTCGCTTTGTGAAACCCAAAGTCAAGTTGAGGAGTAACGAGGGCACGGTCCTCTGAGGAGGCACCTCAGGCATCATCCTGCCACAGCCGCCGGCAGCAAGAACGCGACGCAGCTTGAATTTGAAACGCCAACCGCTGAGCCACGGCAGCAAAAGCATGTGTAAACTTGTAGTGGATCTTGTCTAATACATATACGAGTGCCACTGTATGGCGCCGTCATTACACAGACTTCAATGAGAAGAATGTCACCTGTCTGATAAGAGATATCACACCTCTGATATTGAAATATGGTCGTGTCATTTGATTTAAAATGCAATGTCAGATTCAACTACTGCTTCTTAAAAGCTTATGTTCGCAGTGATCTGAAAGCCCACCGATGAAACAAGTCTTTAGGGGGTATTGAATATTCCTATGAAGCATCTCTGGAGACAGACATAAGCAGCAAGATGCCATGAAGCACTGAGAGACACAGCTGTGAATACAGATATAAAGGCATAAAATCAAAACTCTCTGGAGAGTAAAACCAGGTGAAGAGAAAATATACGAGGCACAGGGAAACAAAGAAAAACACAGAAGCTGAGAAGTATTTCAGATCTTATTTTAAAATAAATCAGCTTCTGACAATATATTAAAAAAACACACACACTGTGGCTATTTACAGGTTTTTAACTCTATTTGGGGGGTCTGTAAAATAGCGTAAAAGCGCACACATTTTAATGATTAAAAATAACCATTAAGTTCCTGTTGCTTTGAGGCCCACCTTATTAACAGACCCGTGACAGCTGGACAGACTAAATGAGGAGTAGATCAAGTACTTAAAATATGTGTGTGAGTATGCACAGTACTCTCATACAACACCGAAATGACTTCCATCATTACAATTTATTCCTCTGATAAAGCCTTTATAAGCTATGTTTTCTGTTCTGTTTGTCTGCCTGTCATTAGGACCATGGAAAAAACTACCAAGAAAACCTGAGAAGTGGAGCACATGGGTACACATGGGTGCCCTTTACATTTGGGCCATTTTAAAGAAAAATCACTTTCTTCAAAACGGCTGAATACAGCATTTGCCTTGGTAGAGTTTTTGCCCCTTAAATCCCCTTGTTTGTGTGTGTATAATATAATAATATATATCAGGGTAGGCTAATGAAAATCCAGCTGAGTGACATGAAAACATAATGACCCACACCCAGTCCTTGTTTATTGGTTTGCATTTACAATTTAACACTTATCCTTATTGTCCTTCAGTATTCCAGTTCTGACATTGCCCCAGTGAGCATACGCCACAGACAGATAGATTTAGTTGTATCTACATGGTAGTTATAGTGGCTGTCCTGCTGGCAGCTTGAGCTTGGACACAACAACAAATTTCCTCTTTGGGGACACTAAAGCATAAAGCAAAGTAAAACTACAGTGACATGATCCATTTGTTTCTTAAGTCCCATTTTGAAGCTTTGAGATACAACTTTCAGGTGCAATGCAACAAACTGGAAGTTGTGAAGGGGGCGGGTCTGACTATGAAGCCACCCATTGGCTAATGGCTTGTCAGTAACAAGTTGTTAGCCAATGATGGTTCAATGCGTGAACCCCAGATAATCCTCTCTGAAACAGTATGACCAAGATTTAAAAAACAGACATATTTTGTATAGACATACTCCAATACACAGTCCAATATTTCAGTTGGAAGTAGGGCTGCCACAAATAGGGCTGCTCAATTAATCGAATTTTAATCACGATTACGATCTGGGCTTTCAACGATCATTAAAAATGACTGAGCCGATTATTAGCCCCTCCCTCATGCTTTACTCTCGTGCTGCTCCGTGTGGCAAATCAAGCGCACTGCTCTGCATTCCGAACACCCGTCACAACAATTAAGAGGACCCGAGGGAAGCTCGGAAAGCTAAGCAGAAGTTATTTGGAGAGGAGTGGACTGCCGTTGGTTGAAAAGAGAGGTAAAAAAAAAAAAACTTCAGTGGTGTGGAAACATTATGGGTTCGCGGAGTCAGACGGGGATCAAGTAGACACAGTGTGTAAACTTTGCTATGGTGTCGTAGCTGCACCACAGAGCAACACTGCAAAGTTTACATTTTTCATTTATTTCTTATATTGCAAACATTTGCACTGTTATCAGTATTTGCACACTATTTTATATTATTTTTTAAAGTCATTATTCAATACATTGTTATTGTTAA